GCTGCCATAACAAAACCTTAAATATGGTTTTGGGACCAGGTTTGGTTCCACTGGGTCTGGGACCAGGCAATCAGGAGCAAGGAAACATTTACAGGAAGGAGGCTGGAGAATGGTGAGGAAACACGGGAAAGGCAGCCTGTGTTAAGTAGTGTAAAACATTTAATAAAACTGCTGAGGGCGAAGATCCAAATCGCAGAAATTTTAATGAACTTTTATTACAGTTGAGAGAAGACATCTAGAAGCAGAATGTCAAAAGTAGGACTTTCGGATACTCTCACCTGCGGCCAGCGTGTGTAGTGAGCGAAAGCAGGATGGCTCTGTGACCTTAAGGGTCCTGCTTCCACACTGGAAGGAGCGAGAGTGAGCCAATGTTTTTTATTTTTATATGGGGGATACACAAAGGCTTTTCCATAGAATATTCTTCACCAAATAAGGCGGGGGGGGGGGGGGTGCGGCTGTCCAGCCCAACTCCAGAGCTACAGAGCAGCCTCTATAGCCAATCGAAGACTGAGGTCATGTGCTTTGCATAATAAGCCACAAAATGACTTGCAATGCCGGACCAAAATCTCCTTGGCTTCAAGGCCAAGTAGAAGCTATGCAAATAGCTCAGAGGAGGCCCCCCACAGGATACTAGATAATTTTTTAAAGTTATTATTACAAGAAAGACATGCTCTGAAAAAACCTGAGCAGTTTTGCAAGCAATATCTAGAAAGAATATAAGTCTAGAAATTGCTAGGTTGAAAAATAGAAGTTTATAATCTTCAGCCTCCCTAATCAGTAAAATGCTTAAATTAAAATATGATTTACAAGCAAAAACCTAATTAAGGGTATAGGTCCTTTGAATTGACAAAAGGGCTTCTAGAAAGATTAGGGTGTGTTCCTACACAATCCTGTTGAATCTGTACACAGATGTGTCAAAAGGAATTATGAGTGCGGCTTTTGTCATATGGCGTTGACTGGAATAAAATACACAGAAAATTTACAATGTTTTCAAAAGCTATTTATTAGCAAAAGTACCTCCAGCCTGCATTAAAAGAAGCAGAGATTTCCCCAACTTTCTGTGGGAATGTATGAAGCTGAGAAAGCTTATCAGCCACTAACATGTGTATACTCTTCAAATGCTTTTAAGGCACTCTTCAGAATTAACCAAGGGAGTTGTTGGAAAGGAACAATTTCCAAAGGGCAGAACCAAGACCTGTAGAGAATGAACTGGGAAACCATTCCCAGAAGAAATCAAGGGCCTGATCTAGAAACATAACTAAATCCCAGGGTAGGGAGATCTTACAATGTTTGCCCAATGGGGCTTCAGAATTGCTATGGGCCAGTGACATCCTCCCACTCCTCCTCCTTCTCAAATGACAGTGCTTATTGCAGTTATTCCTGTTCCAAAATAGTTTGCTGGGTGTGGGGGTGAGGAGGCAGATAACTGTGTCTTTTTAATTCATAGGTCTTGGAATCCAGAGGAACCACATCCAGGCCTGATGTAGATCATGAGACCTTGGACTTTGAGCCTTATAAGGCTTTGAGTCTGGATGAGACTTTGGAGGATTTGGGGATTGGGGGTGAATATGTTTTGCATGTGGGAGGAAACCACATAGCTGTTAAGAAGGCAGACTTTGGTCAATTCACTTATTGTTCTCAACCCTTCATTCCTCCCTGTGTCCCAAGCCTATTGGCATGACTTGTAGTTTATTCCTCTAGAAGCAGAATGCATTTCTCTGCCCCTTGACTTAGGCCTTATTGCATTAGCCAACAGAACATTAACAAATAAAACACGAGAGAAGGCTTAAGATGCTGGACCCCTGACATCATCACAAGATGAGCTCCTCCTGGGTAGCTGCTGTCCCTTTAACTTCAGCCTGTCTGAGTAAATATCTGTGGAGCAGATCCATTCCCCAACAGAAAGAAACCAAGCTGGGATAGAGACACAGTTCAAAGCACAAAAGAATTAATGATGATGTTTTAATCCACCAGGCTGGGTGTTTATTATTCAACAGTAGCTAACTAATACACTTACCATTTGCCTCTGTGGTCCCTACCCTCCAAGGACTCTAGGCTAATACTTGCACATCAAAAGCACATTGAGGGATGGGTTGTGGCTCAATGGTAGAGCGCTTGCCTAGCATGTGTGAGGCACTGGGTTTGACTCTCAGCACTGCATAAAAATAAACAAACAAATAAAGGCATTGTGTCCATCTACAACTAAAAAAAAAAAAAAGAACCTTAAAAAAAAACCACATTGTGGTTTTTAGCTAAACAGAATTGCCTTCCTAAGACTACTTCCTCCCACAAATTCCATGTTCCTAACAAGATGGTTGGGTTTTAAATGACAATTTTTAATTTTCTGTTTGATTGGTTTATCAGTTGGAAATATGTTTGGCTATAAGAGAAAATCCCCAAAACAGTGACTTAGATGAATAATGGGTTTGTTCCTTTTACAGATGGATGGATAGATGAAAGATAGGTAGATAGATATAATAACTTAAATTAATAAAGGATTTATTTGATGGGTAAATAAATGCATATACAGAGAAAGATAGAAAATGTTTTATGTGGCTATATACAATTATGTGTATGCATATATATGTATGTGTGTTTATATATATATATATATATATATATATATATATATATATATATATATGTGTGTGTGTTTATATATATAATATATATATATGAATATACATACATGTATTTTCAATCTTGCCAGAGGTCTCAGTTTGCTTAGTGTTTTCAAAAAACTTTTGGGTGGGGTTGTAGCTCAGTGGTAGAGCACTTGCCTAGCACATATGAGGCAACGGGTTCGATCCTCAGCAGCACATACAAATAAATAAATAAATAAAATAAAGACACTGCATCCATCTACAGCTAAAAATATTAAAAAAAAAAAAACCTCTGAGCTTTATTATTGCATCTCTGTTTTCTAATATATGATCTTAGCTTTTTCTATGTCCTTCTTTCTACCTTCCTTAAATTTTCTTTCCTTTTTTTTTTTTTTTAACTTTTAGGTAATGAACACATTAATGGTATCCTCTACTACTGAGCCACAGCCCTATCCTCTTCCTCTTCGTTTTTTAAAACATGCTTTTTCAATGTTCTGGTTATAAAACATCCAAGGTAGTTGTGGATTTGCTTCTGCTGCTTCTCTTCTTATTTCCTAATGGGTTTTGTGGTGAAGTACCACAGACACTATCTACTCAGGTCAATTTTAAATAAGAATGTTTAGATTGTAGGGTTTGGGACCATGAAAACTGCCTGTATGAAAGCTGGACTTTGGCCATGAATTCTCTTGAGAAATGTTGTTTCCAGTGCCAAAGCAAAGAAAGACAGCCATTCTACTGCCCACCTCTGCATGGCATATTTTTACATTCTAGTTTCCCCTTTTCCTGAGGTAAATATCTTCTCGGGTCCCAATGTGAAGCTATAATTTGGTTCTTACCCTGTTTGGACCCAGGTAAATACCTTATAGTTAGTAGAAGCATTAGTGTTTACTTATCTTCAGAGATGATTTTCAAAATATTTGTCAGATAGCATAAACACAAACCAATCAGAACAGATGCAGACTGTATCCTTGTGTAACTTCTGAACATTGATTCAAACTTAGTAGGTTTGTGTTACTGTTTTTTTCCTGATTTTCCTGAAAGGTTATCTTCTTTTAACTTTAAATAATTTGTTGCAATAATATTAGGAGACAGAGTTCACACAACATTCCTTGGAATAAGTCTAAGCAAGTTTGTTTGGCTCACGAAACAAAGCATCTGATAGTGAGCAATCCAAAGCTGGGATTGTAGCTTAATGTCATATGAATCCTAGTCTCTCTCAATCTTCTTGCTTTGCTAGCCTTAGTATTTGCCACTTCACAGACACATGATGGTGGCTGAACTTCCAAATTTCAGGCCTGCCTAGAGGCAGAAAGAAAACTGGCAAAGCACTTTAAAAATGACATTCAACTAGAAGTCTTAGTGGACTCTGTAAACAGTACTGTTCCAGAATTCCCATTGGATGACTTCTTGATCACTTATTATTGGGAAGAAGTTGGTCACAAGACCATGCCTAGCTTAATTACTGGCTGAGAGTAAGATTACCAGGATGGTGGTGGGAGTGTGCCTCAGTTGGGTAAAAAAAGGGGTTGGAACATACACCCTTGAACCAGAATCCTTTTAAACAAGCCCTTCTGCACCCATCCCCATTTCTGTACTTCAATATATTTTTTTCTTTGGCTGTTTTCTAGAATTTCCGTGTAGACTTTAGAAAGTCCCAATCTCCTCTCTGAACACCCTTCAGTTCTAGAGTCCAAGAAGCAGCAAGACAGGCACACACCTGGGAAACTGGACACTTTAAGCTAAGACAGAAACAATATCAAACAAGTACGTCTGATCCAACAAGAGAATTCATCCTAAATCCAGAAGCCACCGAATTCATGCAGCTGCCTGGATTTCAGGTTAGTATGAATTAACACTTAAACGAAGTGGGGCCTGGGTCTCTAAACAGACCAAAAGGTATGTGGCGGCTCGGGTCCCACACACCACTACTTACCTCTCTTCTACACTAATAGAGGGGGGAAAGGGAGGTTTGTTGGGGGTGGCAGAACTGGAAGCCACAGGAAAGGCTCTGCGACGCCGCTGCCCAGCACAGTGCCAGCCACAGAGGGGGAACACTGGTCCCTTCACTGAGTATTTACTGAGCATCTACGATATACCAAACAGCGGATCGGGCGTTGTTGGAGGCTGACACGGATTTTGACATAATGTCTGCTGGATGACCTGAAATAGGTCAAGGTTTTAAAAGGGTTTGGAACCCAGAATCGTTGCTCCAGTTTCCATCAGTAGACTCACTCCCTAAAACCTACTGAGCACGGGAAAAGCGCAGACACCTCGGCGTGCGCTCTTGACGCCCCGCCCCGAGCGGGATGCCGCATGCGCCCACGCTCTCTCGCTGACGCACCCCCGGAAGCACTGGCGGTTTCGGGGGCGGGACCGAGAAGCGTTTCCGGGGGCGGGAGGCGCAGGCTGAGGCTGTCGCGGCGGGCGACGGCTTGAAGAGGCCTGGCGCTGGCTGCTGAGAGGGTGCCTCGGGCGGGGGACGTGAGGCGTGGAGCCCGTGGCAGGTATGGCGGCGTCGGAACTACCGAAGGCGAGGACGAGAGGAGGAAGAGCCGGGGGAGGGTTGAGGACTTCTCCGCAGGCCCGGCGGCGCGCGCCGCCGTCCCCTTCGGGCCCATCCCTTCGACCGGAATGCTGAAGCCGCGCGGGCGGTTGGAGTCCCAGCGCCCCACGTCCGACTCCCGGGGTCTCTGGCCCTCCTGGCGCGCAGACAGCGACACCGAGATCCCCCCAACCCCGGGCAGCTTCTCCGCCAAGGTCACCCCGCGGCAGCGGAGCTCGGCGGGCCCGGGCGCTTAGAGATCCCGCCCCCGTCCGTCCGTTGGCCTTTCGGGGCGCGGGTGGGCGCGGCTTGGCGGCCTGGGGTTCAAGCCACCCAGGCCAGGCCTGGCAAGTCGAGGCTGGAGAAGGGCTGTGCCAGGACTTCTCTGATCTCCGTTTCCCTCTGTTTCACCCCTGTGGCTGTCTCTATCACCTGTTGTCACCTGGTGTCTTGTCGTGGCCCCTGTCAACCTGGTGTTTCTCCCCACCTTGTGTCTTTGAGCTGTCTCTGAGTGTCCAGACCCTGTCTTTATTTTTGTCTTCTTGCTTCTCTGTTTCTTGACCCTGTCTCTGCCACTCAGCTCTTCCTCTCATTCTCGGCTTGGATGTCATACTGACCTTTTTGGCCATCTGTTTGTTTCCAACTTTCTGCTGATTTTGTGTCTTTCTCTCTCGTTTCTGATTCTCCCTACTGGGTTTGTCCAGGCGGGGCGGGGCAGGCCTGCCCAGATCTCTGAGCCATGAAGGTGACTCATGACCCCGTGAAACTCCCTGCACTGGTGACATTCTCAGTGACTCGACCGACCGCAGTCTGGTCTCAGCTCTGACAGGTGCCACCCACCCTAAACAAGTGTCAGGGTGCAGGAGCACCTGGTGGACAGACAGGAGATCCAACTCAGGACCAAAGCAGCTTGATGAATCTTTGCCTTTTATTGCCTACGGTTTTTCCAGGCATGCACAGCGGCCTACATCCCTTTGCTTTATCCACCTACCCCCATGCCCTCCAGGGCTCTTTGGAGCCTACTCCTTGAGTTAGAACTGGTCAACTAGTCCGTTCTACAAGCTGAGGAAGGGTCAGGTTGAGATCTTCTGCCTTTGGGGATCTCTGAAGGGTAGAAAGATTTCTAGGAGAGCTATGTGCGTAGCTCAGAGATTGTGCCACTGTCCAGTTAAATAAGGAGAAACTTGTTAATTAGGGATCATTCACTGTTTTACCAAAGTACCATTGGAGGAATGCACCAGATACAAGGACAAATATTGTTTGAGACTTCTGAAATGATCTTAAATAGGCAAATTCATAAAGATAGGAAGTAGGCTATGCTGTAGTCAAAGTATTGTTCAATGGATACAAAGTTTTGGGGATGATAAAAAAGTTCTGGAAATGAATTGTGCTCATGGTTGAGCAGCATTGTGAAGATTCTTAATGCCACTGAACTGTACGCTTACAGATTTAAATGATTTTATGTTATTTATATTTTACACAATAAACACACAAAAAGTACTCACTGGAGTCTCCTGAAACCAGTATGCTCTTTTTAAATATATTTAAAAAATTTGTTAGGAACATTAGTGGAACCTGTTTATTGAGGCCTACTCTTCACAGCAGTGAGTTAACCTGAGGGCCTTTGAAAAAGAGTTTGGTTTAAATCTTCAAGATTTCTGTTTGCAGCAGATTCCTATCCTGGCTCTGCTCTTTCCACCTTCTTCAGAATCAGTGCAGAAATCTGCCTAAGGAGGAAACTTTTAAGAAAAGATTTTACTTTTTATATGAAGAAAGCTTGTAAGGTTGGAAAAATAGCCCTTTTGTTACCGTAATACAAAATTATGTGTTATTTCTTATGGGAGATGCCTTTGTTTTTGTATTTTGTTCTTTAAGCTTTCAGTTTGACTTTAGGGTAGTTTATCAAACTTTCTAATAAGATAACAGCTGAATTAGTATCATATTTCATTGAATCTTAAATGCCATCAATTGTTTTATGTAACACCAAGGGGAGAAAAATACTACCAGTTAAATTACAGTTAAGCTGTAACAAAACTCTTTGCTATCGTTTTGGACTATTTTATTCTTATTGGAAACATTTTAACTTTTTTAGACTTTAAAAAATCTATGTCAATACATTTTTCTAATGCATGTATTAAAGGGGAAAATATGTAAAAATAAGTTGCTCATTAAATAAATAAGTGCTCATTAAACTTAACATTCTAACCCCAGCTTTTCTGAATGCTTTTCAGTCTAGAGGTGTATCCATAGTTTTTCCACATGGTATCATCCTTTGTGCCATCAGAAACACTCTAGCGTTATCTAAGGCAGTGACAACTATTAAAACTGCCACTTGGTGATCATATCCTGATTTCAAACATTTTAAAATGTGAAAAAGGGTGTTTCTTAAAATGAGTTGACTCAGTCAGTGCTTTATATTCATTTTTCATGAACTTTTCTTTTTCACCTTATTTGCAAATAAGACTTTTGTCTTATTAGTAATTACTGAGAAAAAACTTTTATATCTTGATATGTAGTTAATAATTTTATTGAAATGAGTACTTCTGTTGAATATCTTACCCTGAATTCTCTTGCATATGAAAGTGTTGTTAAAAATATCTCCTTGTAGGGTGGTACAGGCCTGTAATCCCAGCTATTCTGAAGGCAGATACAGGAGACAGGAGGATCACAAGTTCCAGGCCAGCCTGGGTACCTTAGTAAGACCTTGTCTCAAAATAAAACATAGAGTGGGTTGAGGATGTAGCTTAGTGGTAGAGCATCCTCTGGGTTCTATCCCCAGTATCACCAAAAATAAAAAACAAAACAAAACATAAAAACCCTTGATTTGATTGAAGTATAATGGAAAAATGACATAACTGGAGAACAATATCTTCTCTTTTGAATTTCAAAGTTTACCTTAAGGGAATGTTTTGCCTTAGAAGTTTTAAGACATTCAGCTGTGATTTAAAATTGAAGGGAGTCATAAATCAAATTTCATATAAAGTAGGTGGCTTGTTCTTTTTTTTTTTTTAGAAAGAGAGAGAGACAGAATTTTAATATTTATTTTTTAGTTTTTGGCGGACACAACATCTTTGTTTGTATGTGGTGCTGAGGATCGAACCCGGGCCGCACGCAGGCCAGGCAAGCGCGCTACCGCTTGAGCCACATCCCCAGCCCTGGCTTGTTCTTTTAAAAATCAAAATTGAGGGACTGGGGTTGTGGCTCAGCCATAGAGCGCTCGCCTAGAATGTGCGAGGCCCTGGGTTTGATCCTCAGCACCATATAAAAATAAAAAATAAAGATACTGTGTCCAACTACAATTAAAAATATATTTTAAAAAAGAACTATTGTAAAAAAATCAAAATTGAGTTTATTAAATTCTTCCAAGTTTTCCAATTAGAAAAAGATACAAGAATGCTTATTGACAATGGTCAGGAGACCAAAAGTACTCCTCTAAAGGATACTTATTATTTTAGAATTTTTTTTGAACCCAGAGCCTGGTGTATGCCACTAAGCTGCATCACTGTCCCCCAAAGAATATTTTAATTCTGCAAAATTATAGGCATTGACCATTGCTGGTGTCCTACTTTTAACAAAGATGCCATAGTAATGTAAAATATTAACGTTAAAGGAAATTAGGCAAGGAGTAGATAGAAACCCTGCATTATCTTTGCAAGACAATATCTCAAATCAAAGACTGTAATGTGAGACTATAGCAAGACTCTCTCAAAGAAGATAAATAAAATCAAATAAAAAATACAAATGAAGAAGCCAAGAAGTTTCAGAATGAAAGTTCATCCAACCAAAAACACCAGTCTTTATTAGTTTTCTTTCTGCTACTCACAGAAGTAGTGTTTACTAGGGAGGCACATGTACAGAGTTGGTGGCACCAGCATCTCTTACATTTTCAACATAATTTTTCCTTTCAGAAGTCGATGTGATTTAATTTGAAGCAAAACCAAGAAATGAATGTTTCTTCCTCATTCATTCATACTGTTTTTTGATGGCCATGGCATAAGGAACTTTATCCCAGGAATACAGCTTTACTTTAGGTAAGCTATAAAGTTGCCTTTGATACAAATTTTAAAACCATTTACTGTAATTGTTTCTCTTTTCAGCAAAAATAATGATGTAGTTTGTCAAGATTCTTAATGACTTTAGACCAGATGATTCTTCTCTTCTGAAGAGGAGATGTTGCACACTTAAAAGGCCAATCACTGCCATACTTTGCACTGATAGAGCATTTAATTTGGGGGAAATTTTTTTTATTTTAATCGGAGATTATTAGATTTGGTTACACTTCTGTTTGAATCTTCACATGCCTCTTATAAGAAGGGTAACCAGGGACAGTCTTTTAATCTGAACTCTGTTTACTTCTCTTTAAATTGAGTATGATGGTAGAACAGAGGTGTTCAAGACCCAAGTTTACATAGTGTACTTCGTAGATTGTAAAGCATTTGGCTAATGTAAAGAATTTTGGTAGGCATGGGGTGTTGGTATTTTTGTACATTTGTGCCAGACTTTAAATTTACTAAAGCAACATTTACTGTGTTTAAATGTGCTTTCTATAGCAAGCATGCAAATTACCATATGCTCTGATTAAAGAAATCTCGGAAGGGCTTCAAGACAAGTAGCTGGTGGGCCTGGCTTTCCTGTTATATTGCCATATCTGTGCTTTTCAAATGTTTAGTTCTTGTTTAAATGGTGCATAAAACTCAATATACACCTCCTCAGCCGAATAATAAATAGTGACTACTATTAAATTCATAGGAGTTGGAATGGATCTTGAAGGTCTTCTAGTTCAGGGATTCTTCAGTATTATTGCCCTTTATCTTCTGCTTTTAAAAAGCCAGATGGCTATCATGAAGGGTGGAGAGAATGAACTGAGACTAGTATATTTGTTTTAGAAAAACTTGCTGTTGGATTTTTTTTCTTAATTATGTGCAAGATAAAATAAATTGCTAATATCTAATTAAGTCTGAGGCTGGTGAAGTCTCTGGAGTGTATGAATATATTGTTTATAACCTAAATTATAGATTGTTTAGGCTATACATGAAAATGGTATTCACTGTTACCTTCCGTACCATTCCACCTCTCAGACTATACTGGGTCTGAACAAGTACTGTAAATTTACTATATATGTGACTGTGTTAGTCAGCTTTGCATCGCTGTGAATAAAATACCTGACAAGAACAACTTGTAAGAATAAAAGTTTATTTTAGGCTCACTCTTTCACTGGCTAACTCCATTGCTCTATGTCTGAGGTGAGGCAGAACATCATGGAAGAAGGGCATGGGGTGGGGGAGCTGCTTAGCTCATAGCAACTAGGACTGGGAAGTGGGGTTCAGGGACAGATACAGTCCAAGGTGGGTCACCAGTGACCTACCTCCTCCAGCCACACCTCACCCAGTAATCCATTTATATTATTAATCCATTAAGTGGATTAATTCACTGATAAGGCTATGACTCTTTACCTGCGAACATTCCTGCATTGCCTAACACTTGAGCTTCCTAGGGACATTAAAAATCCAAACCATACAATGACCTTAGGCAAATAAAATGGGCCTCTTGGTCTCTATTGCCTATTCTGTATAATAAATATTAAAAGGACCTAACAAATGGACAAGTGCTTTGCCTAGACATTGTCCTATGGTGTGGGCAAAGCACATTATATACAGTCAGCCTTCTGTATCTGTGAGTTTTACATCCATGGTTTCAATTCACCACAGATTGAGAATATTCAGAAAAAAATTGCAGCCATACTAAACAAGCATAGACTTTTCTTCCTTGTTGTTATTTCCTAAACAATGCAGTTTAAAAACCATTGAGCTAACATTTACATTGTATTCAGTATTATAAATAATCTAAAGATGATCCAAAGTATTCTTGAGGACATGTATAAGTTACATGCAAATATTATGATGCCATTTTATATGAGGAACTGAAGCATCCACAGATTTTGAATTTTGAGGGGGTTCTGGAACAATCCCTTTCAGATAATGGGGGCAACCATTTGTGTGTGTGTGTGTGTGTGCATATGCACTTTAATTAGGCTCTCCATCAGACTTCTTTTGCTTTAGTCCATCAACTGATTAACCTTCTTGAACCATGTTTTGTAGCATGTCACTCTGAACTTCTCAGTGCTTCCCCCAGTGCCTACATTTAATGCTCAAACTCAGCCTTCAACAAGATAATCCCATTCATCTTTTCTTCCAACCACTCACTGCCACTTGTAAAAGAAAGTATAGGTAATGATCTGTTCATTGCCAGGGTTGGTCTTAACCGGAAGAAAGCCAAGGAGATCTCTTGAAATTGCTTTATTTTTCTTTTTTAATATTTTATAGTTGTCAATGGATCTTTTTATTTATTTATATGTGGTACTGAGGATCGAACCCAGGGCCTTGCACATGCCCGGCAAGCGCTGTACCACTGAGCCACAACTCCAGGCCTCTTGAAATTACCTTTTAAAAAAAAAAAAAAAAAAATATATATATATATATATATATATATATATATGTATATTTTTTAGTTGTAGTTGGGCACAATACCTTTATTTCACTTATTTTTTTATTTTTTTTTTAATGTGGTGCTAAGGATCGAACCCAGGGTCTTGCACGTGTGAGGCGAGCACTCTACCGCTGAGCCACAACCCCAGCCCCTGAAATTACTTTTTGATGGCAATTTTACCATAATGTAAGATCTTACTCTCCATGTAATGGGACCAGTAACTCAGTTTCTTCAGTTTACCATACTCAGTGCACTATAGCCATGAGGATTAAAGCAAATAAATCAGAATGCCACGTAACTTACCATTTTCTTTTTATGTTAATAAATGGGACCAGCTTGTAGTTTTTTTTTAATATTTATTTTTTAGATGTAGATGGGCACAACAAAATGCCTTTATTATTATTTTTTTTTAATGTGGTGCAGAGGATGGAATCTGGGTCCTGCCCGTGCGAGGGGAGCGCTCTACCGCTGAGCCACAATCCCAGCCCTGGCTTGTAGTTTTTAACTCTGTTGTCTAGTTTTGATACTAGGATTTCATATAACATTTATTAGCAGATTTTCTCCCACCTTTATTTTCTTGCCCCTTTCCTCCCCACTACTTTTAACATTTCTAGTTTTATTACATTGTGTAATCACATGTAATCAAATGTGCCCTGTGTATTTTTGTTTGGGGCAGAAATTTATTGATGTTCTCTGTGACCTGTATAAATTTCTTCTTTATCCTCTTTTTTCATATCATTCCACTATTTTGTTTCATCTTCCTTATACTTCAAAGAGACTGTGTTTTCTTAAAGCTGATGGAAAACATCAATTTAAGAAGTGTTATCTAAAATGTATTTTTGCCTATTCCTTGTCGTTTTCTTTTTTGATATTGTAGAATCTATTTGCAGACCCTTGTTGGTTGTATTATTTTTATTCTTGAGGGAAGCATTCTGTTCAGGACTGAAATTTTACTCCTCTGTGAATTGTTTTGTGTCCTTCATTGCACACTTAAATGTTGTTAGAACCAACTTTTAATTAGTTCATAAGCTGGATATAGGGCTGAGCCATGTTGACAGCAGGGTTTAGCTTGAGTGGAATAGCTGGGGATGGGGGTTAGGCTTCAGGCACTCTCCAGAGGGCTTGGGTTCTGTGCACTTTCTTTTGAGCTGGTGAAATTGTGATACTAGGATAGGAGCCTCTGTTGTCTCTTAGGCCCTGCTGATAAATGATGGATGGTCATTTGAATGACTAAGACCCAGCCCTTTGATTAAGGTATTTTCTTGCTGAGGCAATGTGCAACCTTTGAGATCCTAATATCACCACTTTTGAATGTTGTCAATCTGTAGCACCTGCCTGTCCCATGGCCCACCCTACCCTGGCTTTTAGCTCTGGGCTCTCCAAATGAAGGGGTGTTCTAATCCTCCCTGAGAATTACTGTTACTATACCAGGATTGCCTGGAGCAGGAAGTGAAGTTGCAATGTCTCCCTTCAATCTGGATCCATATCCACTGTATCTTAAATTTCTTAAAAGATTGTGCCATGTAGATAACACTGTTCCCTAAGTTCTAGAAATCAGTCGAATTTTTCCATATTTCTGTAAGGTTGTGGTAGATGAGAAGAGTTATATGCCTGTCTTCAAGTTGTCTTTTTACTCGGATGACACCAAAATGTATAATAATGGGACATACAACTCTAGAGTATGCCAGGTACCCTCTGAATTCCTTGTGGATTTGTGATTTTCTTATGGTACTTTCATCAGGCTTTGCCTTGCATAAAATGTTGTATAAATGTGTTTTATCTGCTCTACCAGATTTAAACTCTCCAAGGACAACAGTATTTCCCCATAATTCCTTGTGTGTTTTATGGGGTATTTTTAGTGAGTTAATCTTCTAACCAATTGAAACAGCAACTGTACTCAATATAGTTACAGTTGCTTGTGAGTGTGTAAATATTACTAGACAGCAGGAAAACCTATAAGAGAATTTTAGATTTTTATATGTTACTAATGTCAGAGAATGTGGAGAAATGTTACATTTACCCAAATTTAAGGGCAAAGTTCAGATACTTAGTAAACTTCAAGGATCATTACCACCTTGACACAGTTAAAAAAAAAAATGACAATTTTTTCCAGTTTTTTTTTTTTTTTTCTGTGTGGTAAAATATATATATAACTTTCAATTTGCTGTTTTAACCTTTTTTTTTTTTTTTTTTTGTTAATGCTATGGATTAAACCCAGGACTTTGTGCATGCTGGGTAAGCACTCTACCACTGAGCTACATCCTCAACCCCATGTTAACCATTTTTTAGTGTACAATTCAGTGGTGCTAATTACAGTCAGTGTTGTACAACCAACACTACTATTTTGAAAATTATTTTATCACCCATTAGAAATAACTCCTCATTTCCTAGTCCCCCTTGTATTCTTATCTTTTTTTATTTTGAAGTTGTAGATGGACCTTATTTATTTATTTATTTATTTATTTATTTATCTTTTAGTTTTAGGTGGACACAATATCTTTATTTTATTTTTACGTGGTGCTGAGAATCGAACCCAGTGCCTCAC